ATTTTAAAAATTTCTAGCTGACCGAAAATTTGCAATTTTGAAATGAAAAATTCACTAAATATAATTAAATGGGCGCTCTTTAATATGCTATTGACAAATCTGTTCTATCTCTTCTCAATTTTGAGAAAAAAAAAATCGCAAAGTTGCTTTTTATTGACTTCCAAACTGATTTTTTTGGTTGTTATGGGAAATTTTAAAAATTTCTAGCTGAGCAAAAATTCGTAAATTTTGCTATGAAAAAATTACTAAATATAAATAAAAGAGCGCTCTTTAATATGCTACTGACCAATCTGTTCTATCTATTCTCAATTTTTAGGAAAAAAATCGCAAAGTTGCCTTTTATTGACTTACAAATTGACTTGTTTTTTGATGTTATGGAAAATTTAAAAAAATTCTAACTGAGCGAAAATTCGGAATTTTGGAATGAAAAATTCACTAAATATAATTAAAAGATCAGTCTTTAACATGCTATTGACGAATCTGTTCTATCTCTTCTCAATTTTGAAAAACAAATCGTAAAGTTGCCTTTTATTGACATTAAAACTGATTTTTTTTTTATGTTATGGGAAATTTGAAAATTTTCTAGCTGAGCGAAAATTAGGAATTTTGCAATAAGAAAGTCACTAATTATAAATAAAAGGGCGTTCTTTAATATGCTATTGACGAATCAGTTCTATCTCTTCTCAATTTTGAGAAAAAAAATCTCAAAGTCGTTTTTTATTGAGTTGCAAATTGATTTTTTTTTGATGTTATGGAAAATTTAAAAAATTTCTAACTGAGCGAAAATTTGGAATTTTGCAATGAAAGAATCTCTAATTATAAATAAAAGGGCGCTCTTTAATATACTATTGACGAATCTGTCCTATCTCTTCTCAATTTTGAGAAACAAAAACGCAAAGTTGCTTTCTATTGACATGCAAATTAATTTTTTTTTGATGTTATGGGAAATTTTAAAAATTTCTAGCTGAGCTAAAATTAGGAATTTTGCAATAAAAAAGTCACTAATTATATATAAAAGGGCGCTCTTTAATATGCTATTGACGAATCTGTTCTATCTCTTCTCAATTTTGAGAAAAAAAATCGCAAAGTTGCTGTTTATTGATTTTTGGGAAAATTTCAAAAATTTCTAACTGAGCGAAAATTCGGAATATTGCAATGAAAAAATCAGTAATTACAATTAAAAGATCAGTCTTTAACATGCTATTGACGAATCTGTTCTATCTCTTCTCAATTTTGAAAAACAAATCGTAAAGTTGCCTTTTATTGACATTAAAACTGATTTTTTTTTTATGTTATGGGAAATTTGAAAATTTTCTAGCTGAGCGAAAATTAGGAATTTTGCAATAAGAAAGTCACTAATTATAAATAAAAGGGCGTTCTTTAATATGCTATTGACGAATCAGTTCTATCTCTTCTCAATTTTGAGAAAAAAAATCTCAAAGTCGTTTTTTATTGAGTTGCAAATTGATTTTTTTTTGATGTTATGGAAAATTTAAAAAATTTCTAACTGAGCGAAAATTTGGAATTTTGCAATGAAAAAATCAGTAATTATAAATAAAAGAGCGCTGTTTAATATGCTATTGACGAATCTGTTCTATCTCTTCTAAGTTTTGAGAAAAGAAATCGTAAAGTTGCCTTTTATTAACTTCCAAACCGATTTTTTTTTTGATTTGGGAAATTTTAAAAATTTCTAGCTGAGCTAAAATTAGGAATTTTGCAATAAAAAAGTCACTAATTATATATAAAAGGGCACTCTTTAATATGCTATTGACGAATCTGTTCTATCTCTTCTCAATTTTGAGAAAAAAAATCGCAAAGTTGCTTTTTATTGAGTTGCAAATTGATTTTTTTTTGATGTTATGGAAAATTTAAAAAATTTCTAACTCAGCGAAAATTCGGAATTTTGCAATGAAAAAATCAGTAATTATAAATAAAAGAGCGCTCTTTAATATGCTATTGACGAATCTGTTCTATCTCTTCTCAATTTTGAGAAAACATATCGTAAAATTGCCTTTTATTGACTTACAAACTGATTTTTTTTAATGTTATGGGAAATTTGAAAATTTTCTAGCTTAGCGAAAACTAGGAATTTTGCAATAAGAAAGTCACTAATTATAAATAAAAGGGTGCTCTTTAATATGCTATTGACGAATCTGTTCTATCTCTTCTCAGTTTTGAGAAAAAAAATCGCAAAGTTGCCTTATATTGAATGATTTTTTTTTGATGTTGTGGGAAATTTTAAAAATTTCTAGGTGACCGAAAATTTGCAATTTTGAAATGAAAAATTCACTAAATATAATTAAATGGGCGCTCTTTAATATGCTATTGACGAATCTGTTCTATCTCTTCTTAATTTTGAGAAAAAAAAATCGCAAAGTTGCCTGTAATTGATTTTAAAACCGATTTTTTTTTGATTTGGGAAATTTAAAAAAGTTCTAGCTGAGCGAAAATTTGGAATTTTGCAATGAAAAAATCACTAAATATAAATAAAAGAGCGCTCTTTAATATGCTATTGACGAATCTGTTCTATCTCTTCTCAATTTTGAGAAAAAAAATTGCAAAGTTGCTTTCTATTGACTGATTTTTCTTGATGTTGTAGGAAATTAAAAAAATTTCTAGCTGAGCGAAAAGTTGAAATTTTGAAATGAAAAATTCACTAAATATAAATAAAAGAGCGCTCTTTAATATGCTATTAACGAATCTGTTCTATCCTTTTCAATTTTGAGAAAAAAAATTGCAAATTTGCCTTCTATTGACTAATTTTTTTTGATGTAGGAAATTAAAAAAATTTCTAGCTGAGCGAAAAGTTGCAATTTTGAAATGAAAAACTCACTAAATGTAATTAAAAGGGCGCTCTTTAATATGCTATTGACGAATCTGTTCTATCACTTCTCAATTTTGAGAAAAAAATAATCGTAAAGTTGCCTGTAATTGATTTTAAAACCTATTTTTTTTGATTTGGGAAATTTAAAAAAGTTGTAGCTGAGCGAAAATTTGAAATTTTGCAATGAAAAAATCACTAAATATAAATAAAAGAGCGCTCTTTAATATGCTATTGACGAATCTGTTCTATCTCTTCTCAATTTTGAGAAAAAAAATCGCAAAGTTGCTTTCTATTGACATGCAAATTGATTTTTTTTTGATGTAGAAAATTTTAAAAATTTCTAATTGAGCGAAAATTCGGAATTTTGCAATGAAAAAATCACTAATTATAAATAGAAGGGCGCTCTTTAATATGCTATTGACGAATCTGTACTATCTCTTCTCAATTTTGAGAAAAAAAATCGTAAAGTCGCTTTTTATTTACTTGCAAATTGATTTTTTTTATTGTTATGGGAAATTTTAAAAATTTCTAGCAGGGCGAAAATTTGGAATTTTGCAATGAAAAATTCACTAAATATAAATAAAAGAGCGCTCTTTAATATGCTATTGACGAATCTGTTCTATCTCATCTCAATTTTGAGAAAATAAATCGTAAAGTTGCCTTATATTGACTGATTTTTTTTTGATGTTATGGAATATTTTAAAAATTTCTAGCTAAGCGAAAATTTGTAATTTTGAAATGAAAAATTCACTAAATATAAATAAAAGAGCGCTCTTTATTATGCTACTGGCGAATCTGTTCTATCTCTTCTCAGTTTTGAGAAAAAAAATCGCGAAATTGTTTCTATTGACTGATTTTTTTTTGATGTTGTGGGAAATTTTAAAAATTTCTAGCTGAGCGAAAATTAGGAATTTTACAACAAGAAAGTCACTAATTATAAATAAAAGGGCGCTCTTTAATATGCTTTTGACGAATCTGTTCTATCTCTTCTCAATTTTGAGAAAAAAAATAGCAAAGTTGCTTTTTATTGAGTTGCAAATTGATTTTTTTTTGATGTTATGACGAATTTTAAAAATTTCTAACTGAGCGAAAATTCTGAATTTTGCAATGAAAAAATCTCTAATTATAAATAAAAGAGCGCTCTTTAATGTACTATTGACGAATCTGTTCTATCTCTTTTCAATTTTGAGAAAAAAAATCGCAAAGTTGTTTCTTATTGACTTCCAAGCTGATTTTTTTTGATGTTATGCGGAATTTGAAAATTTTCTAACTGATCGAAAATTCGGAATTTTGCAATGAAAAAATCACTAATTATAAATAAAAGAGCGCTCTTTAATATGTTATTGACGAATCTGTTCCATCTCTTCACAATTTTGAGAAAAAAAATCGCAAAATTGCCTTCTATTGACTGATTTTTTTTTTGATGTGGGAAATTTTGTAAATTTCTAGCTAAGCGAAAAGTTGCAATTTTGAAATGAAAAATTCACTAAATATAATTAAAAGGGCACTGTTTAATATGCTATTGACGAATCTGTTTTATCTCTTCTCAATTTTGAGAAAAAAAATCGCAAAGTTGCTTTTTATTGAATTGCAAATTGATTTTTTTTGATGTTATGGGAAATTTGAAAATTTTCTAGCTGAGCGGAAATTTGAAATTTTGCAATGAAAAATTCACTAAATATAAATAAACGAGCGCTGTTTAATATGCTATTGACGAATCTGTTCTATCTCTTCTCAATTTTGAGAAAAAAAATCGCAAAGTTGTTTCTTGTTGACTTCCAAGCTGATTTTTTTTTGGTGTTATGCGGAATTTGAAAATTTTCTAACTGAGCGAAAATTCGGAATTTTGCAATGAAAAAATCACTAATTATAAATAAAAGAGTGCTCTTTAATATGCTATTGACGAATCTGTTCTACCTCTTTTCATTTTGAAAAAAAAATCGCAAAGTTACTTTTTATTGAATACAAAAATGAATGTTTTGGATGTTACGAGCAAAATTTAAAAAATTTTCCCAATTTTAAGATTGTAAATAAAACAACATTTAACTTAATAATTAATATACTTTTATACTATAAAATAAAGTAATAATACAATACCGAAACGAAATTAAAATTAAAAAAAGAAAACATTAAAATGTACAAAAATTCAAATTATAACTTTTCTCCTCTTATTTAAAAAAAAATTATAATAAACTAAATAACTGAAAAACTCCTTTTCTTTTCAAATAATTTTTTTTACATTGTTCCATAATGATTCCATTGATCCATAACAGAACCCCCACCTTCCATTGAGTAATTTGAGATGGCAGTCGGACCAAAAACCGGCGATTTTTGAGGAATATACTGGTACGAAGGTAAATACTGATTGCTGGTGTTATTGTAATATAAGGCACTACTTCCGTTTGTAGCCGTTGTTGTTGTCGTTGATGATTGATAAAACATCGAAGGACTCGTATTCGGAGAACTATATCTTTCCGTTTTAACAATTAACGCTGACGATGAAGGCGTCGATGGCTGCAATTCATGGTATCTCGCAAACGATGTCGTGTTATCGTAACATTCATTCTGATGATGAACATTATCGAAATTTCTTTTCAATTTTAAATTATTATTACTTTCCTCATCATCGATGTTTTTAATATAATGCTGATGATGATAATTTTGAAAATGGTTTATTGTTGTATTTTCGGATGGCAAATACTGATCTAAATCGTTACTATCAATACAATCTTCTGGTATATAAGTGGCGTTATCAACAATTTCGGGTAACCGATTAAAATCGATGTTTTGTTCTAAACAATTTGCTCGAAAAGTTTGGGAAGAACCAAGATTTTTTGGACTGTGAGGTTGAGATGAACAAGAAACCGGGGAAGTTGAACTTGTTCGACTTCTTGGTGAACAAGGAGAATCTTCTTGTTTCATATTATTTCTCCCACCACCGCCGTATTGATGATGATTTGCGTCACCGTTTGTTTTGCTCTGTTTTCGCCTTCTCGGTTGATATTTGTAATCAGGATGTTGTTTTTTATGAATTAATCTTAAATTTTCAGCTGCGTCGATGAACGGTTTCTTTTCATGATCTTTAAGGACTCTGTAAAAAAAATAAAAAATATTAAAAAAAAGTCGTTTCCTCGTCCAGGTGGTATAACGTGCAAATAAAAAGGGGGGAACGTGTTTGTATTAGAATTTCTTGCCCTACATAGTTTGATCTTATTAAGAAACCACAAACGAAGGGTAGATAATAAACCGGAAAGGATATGGTATGTTACGCAATTTTTTTATTTGGTTAATCGATATTTATTGTAAATTGTAAACACCGATATGATATATTTGATTACATTAAACAACGTAAATGTAACCACACCGGACGATTTCCCATTTTAAAATTTATGTATGTACATAAAAAAATAATGATTAAAAGTTTTATGGAATTATCTTAAAAAGATAGTAGATATGGAAAAAAACTTAAAAAAGCACGATAATCTTGTTTTTAAGGAGATTTTAGGATTTTTCAGGAAAATTCATAATTAAAAAATTAAAAGAGATAGAGAAAAATATTGTGTATTTAAATTGTTTATAATAATGTAATAAAACAAAATTCACAACTAGATCTAACTCACATATCTCTGTATTCCAGTTAGAAAAATTGATGTTTTTCGCTATAATGGATAACTCAAAAACTAAAGACTGCGGAGAAAAGTATTTTATAGATAAATTGTTTATTATGAACCAAGAAGACATAATCCATAAACAGATAGGGATTAATTAGTATAATATTTTAGTTAGAAAGTGTAAATGACAATAATACCAAAGATGTTGATTTTTCGTTACTAATGAAGGTCATAATTTAAAAATTAAAAGGGATAGAGAAAAATATTGTGTATATAAATTGTTTATAATAATGTAATAAAACAGAATTCACAACTAGATTTAACTCACATATCTCTATAATCCAGTTAGAAAATAGTAATCATCGAAATATCAGAATTTATGCTTTTCGCTATAATGGACGGTCATAACTCAAAAACTAAAGACTGCGGAGAAATATATTTTATATATAAATTGTTTACTATGAACCAAGAAGACATAATCCATAAACAGATAGGAATTAATTAGTATAATATTTTAGTTAGAAAGTGTATATAACAATAATACCAAAGATGTTGATTTTCGTTACTAATGAAGGTTCTAATTTAAAAATTAAAAGGGATAGAGAAAAATATTGTGTATATAAATTGTTTATAATAATATGATAAAACAGAATTCACAACAAGATCTAACTCACATATCTCTACATTCCAGTTAGAAAATGGTAATCCTCGAAATATCAGAATTTATGCTTTTCGCTATAATGGACGGTCATAACTCAAAAACTAAAAACTGCGGAGAAAAGTATTTTATAGATAAATTGTTTATTACGAACCAAGAAGACATAATCCATAAACAGATAGGAATTAATTAGTATAATATTTTAGTTAGAAAGTGTATATAACAATAATACCAAAGATGTTGATTTTCGTTACTAATGAAGGTTCTAATTTAAAAATTAAAAGGGATAGAGAAAAATATTGTGTATATAAATTGTTTATAATAATGTAATAAAACAGAATTCACAACTAGATTTAACTCACATATCTCTATAATCCAGTTAGAAAATGGTAATCCTCGAAATAACAGAATTTATGCTTTTCGCTATAATGGACGGTCATAACTCAAAAACTAAAAACTGTCGAGAAAAGTATTTTATAGATAAATTGTTTATTATGAACCAAGAAGACATAATCCATAAACAGATAGGGATTAATTAGTATAATATTTTAGTTAGAAAGTGTAAATGACAATAATACCAAAGATGTTGATTTTCGTTACTAATGAAGGTCATAATTTAAAAATTAAAAGGGACAGAGAAGAATATTGTGTATATAAATTGTTTATAATAATGTAATAAAACAAAATTCACAACTAGATTTAACTCACATATCTCTATAATCTAGTTAGAAAATGGTAATCATCAAAATATCAGAATTGATGTTTTTCGCTGTAATGGACGGTCATAACTCAAAAACTAAAGCCTGCGGAGAAAAGTATTTTATAGATAAATTGTTTATTATGAACCAAGAAGACATAATCCATAAACAGATAGCAATTAATTAGTATAATATTTTAGTTAGAAAGTGTAAATGACAATAATACCAAAGTTATTGATTTTCGTTACTAATGAACGTCATAATTAGAAAATTAAAAGAGATAGAGAAAAATATTGTGTATATAAATTGTTTATAACAATGTAATAAAACAGAATTCACAACTAGATTTAATTCACATATCTCTATAATCCAGTTAGAAAATGGTAATCATCGAAATATCAGAATTTATGCTTTTCGCTATAATGGACGGTCAAAACTCAAAAACTAAAGGCTGTGGAGAAAAGTATTTTTTAGATGGATTGTTTATTATGAACCAAGAAGACAAAATCCATAAACAGATAGGGATTAATTAGTATAATATTTTAGTTAGAAAGTGTATTTGACAATAATACCACAGTTGTTGATTTTCGTTACTAATGAAGGTCATAATTTAAAAATTGAAAGAGATAGAGAAAAATATTGTGTATATAAATTGTTTATAATAATGTAATAAAACAGAATTCACAACTAGATTTAACTCACATATCTCTATAATCCAGTTAGAAAATGGTAATCATCAAAATATCAGAATTTATGCTTTTCGCTATAATGGACGGTCATAACTCAAAAACTAAAGGCTGTGGAGAAAAGTATTTTATAGATAAATTGTTTATTACGAACCAAGAAGACATAATCCATAAACAGGTAGGGATTAATTAGTATAATATTTTAGTTAGAAAGTGTAAATGACAATAATACCAAAGATGTTGATTTTCGTTACTAATGAAGGTTATAATTTAAAAATTAAAAGGGATAGAGAAAAATATTGTGTATATAAATTGTTTATAATAATGTAATAAAACAGAATTCACAACTAGATTTAACACACATATCTCTATAATCCAATTAGAAAATGCTAATCCTCGAAATATCAGAATTTATGCTTTTCGCTATAATGGACGGTCATAACTCAAAAGCTAAAGGCTGCGGAGAAAAGTATTTTATAGATAAATTGTTTATTATGAACCAAGAAGACATAATCCATAAACAGATTTGGATTAATTACTATAATATTTTAGTTAGAAAGTGTAAATGACAATAATACTAAACATGTTGATTTTCGTTACTAATGAAGGTCATAATTAAAAAATTAAAAGGGATAGAGCATAATACTGTGTATATAAATTGTTTATAATAATGTAATAAAACAGAATTCACAACTAGATTTAACTCATATATCTCTATAATCCAGTTAGAAAATGGTAAATTTCGAAATATTAGAATTGATGTTTTTTGCTATAATGGACGGTCACAACTCAAAAACTAAAGACTGTGGAGAAAAGTATTTTATAGATAAATTGTTTATTACGAACCAAGAAGACATAATCCATAAACAGATAGGAATTAATTAGTATAATGTTTTAGTTAGAAAGTGTAAATGACAATAATACTAAACATGTTGATTTTCGTTACTAATAAAGGTCATAATTTAAAAATTAAAAGGGATAGAGAAAAATATTGTGTATATAAATTGTTTATAATAATGTAATAAAACAGAGTTCACAACTAGATTTAACTCACATATCTCTATAATCCAGTTAGAAAATGGTAATCATCGAAATATCAGAATTGATGTTTTTCGCTGTAATGGACGGTCATAACTCAAAAACTAAAGACTGCGGAGAAAAGTATTTTATAGATAAATTGTTTATTATGAACCAAGAAGACATAATCCATAAACAGATAGGGATTAATTAGTATAATATTTTAGTTAGAAAGTGTAAATGACAATAATCCCAAAGTTATTGATTTTCGTTACTAATGAAGGTCATAATTTAAAAATTAAAAGGGATAGAGAAAAATATTGTGTATATAAATTGTTTATAATAATGTAATAAAACAGAATTCACTGCTAGATTTAACTCACATATCTCTATAATCCAGTTAGAAAATGGTAATCCTCGAAATATCAGAATTTATGTTTTTCGCTGTAATGGACGGTTATAACTCAAAAACTAAAGACTGTGGAGAAAAGTACTTTATAGATAAATTGTTTATTATGAACCAAGAAAACATAATCCATAAAGAATTATGGATTAATTAGTATAATATTTCAGTTAGAAAGTGTAAATGACAATAATACCAAACATGTTGATTTTTGTTACTAATGAAGGTCATAATTTAAAATTTAAAAGAGATAGAGAAAAATATTGTGTATATAAATTGTTTATAACAATGTAATAAAACAAAATTCACAACGAGATCTAACTCACATATCTCTATATTCTAGTTAAAAAATGGTAATCCTCGAAATATCAGAATTGATGTTTTTCGCTATAATGGACGGTCATAACTCAAAAACTACAGACTGTGGGGAAAAGTGTTTTATAGATAAATTGTTTATTATAAACGAAGAAGACGTAATCCATAAACAGATAGGGATTAATTAGTATAATATTTTAGTTAGAAAGTGTAAAGGACAATAATACCAAGGATGTTGATTTTTGTTATTAATGAAGGTCATAATTTAAAAATTAAAAGGGATAGAGAAAAATATTGTGTATATAAATTGTTTATAATAATGTAATAAAACAGAGTTCACAACTAGATTTAACTCACATATCTCTATAATCCAGTTAGAAAATGGTAATCATCGAAATATCAGAATTGATGTTTTTCGCTGTAATGGACGGTCATAACTCAAAAACTAAAGACTGCGGAGAAAAGTATTTTATAGATAAATTGTTTATTATGAACCAAGAAGACATAATCCATAAACAGATAGGGATTAATTAGTATAATATTTTAGTTAGAAAGTGTATATGACAATAATACTAAAGTTGTTGATTTTCGTTACTAATGAAGGTCATAATTTAAAAATTAAAAGGGATAGAGAAAAATATTGTGTATATAAATTGTTTATAATAATGTAATAAAACAAAATTCACAACTAGATCTAACTCACATATCTCTGTATTCCAGTTAGAAAATGGTAATCCTCGAA